CTAACTGCAGGCTTTTTCTTTTCCTTGCAGTACAGTGGCACCTGGTACGCCATGGCAAAAAAAGATCCTGAGGGGCTGTTTCTGCAGGACAATGTGGTTGCCCAGTTCACTGTAGATGAGAATGGACAGATGAGTGCCACTGCAAAGGGCAGAGTCAGACTCTTCAAGTAAGCTATTTGCAATCATTCTATTGCAAATAGAATATTCTATTTCACTACCCTTCTGCTTTGCTTGATCTTAATCAAATCCAGCCTGCTCTCCTTGTGCTAGTCACAGTCTCACGAAGTCTGCTGTCAGGTTTTAACATGATATTTTCTTTCTCCCTGACTGCAGTAACTGGGATGTCTGTGCTGATATGATTGGCTCTTTCACTGACACAGAGGATCCTGCCAAGTTCAAGATGAAGTACTGGGGTGTCGCCTCTTTTCTGCAGAAAGGAAGTGAGTAATTAACTCTAGAAAATGTGGAGCTAATTGGGAGCCTGATTATGTTGAATATTGATGCTGGGAAAAAGTGCAGCATTGGATTTCTTGAACACTTAAACCGTGCAATGACAATAAAATAGCAAAGTCTTAATGAGAACAAGGTGATCACTATTTTTTTATGAGACATCTGGCTGGTTCTCTTTAAGCAAGAGAAGACCAGGCCTTTGTATATCTTTGTATTTATTTTGATTGCTACCCACTTATATAATCTAAAGTGACTATTCCGAAGAAATAAAAGGTAAATGTAGTATTTTTGTAGTATATTATGCCTTATTTTATTTCAGAATTCATTTACTGGATGCTCCTGCTCTCTATGAAAAGCCTAATGTCAGACTTGGTCTAGTAGGGAAGAGGATTTTACGACTATTCTTTTGCATAAGCTAATATCAGCAAATGCAGAGATTTATCTCTTTTTACAAATATCATACAGTAAATATATATTCATATTTTCCTGTCATCTTTCACACTCTATGCAAAATTAGTTTCTTGATGAAGTAGACATTCAGTTACTTGCAGCTCAAGACATTTATATGGATTGTTTCCAAGAGCAGCAGATGGAATTTGGAAGTGATTGAAGCTCCATTCTCTCCAAAAACTCAGTTAAAAAGAATGCTTTTGTTGCCAATTGCTCTTGAATTGTTGCTGAATTACCTCAAAGTGTGCTGATGAATCGTATTTTCATGGATACTTCAGATTGCTGACTGACCTTGGACTCTATCTTCTTAAAAACTGTGGTCCCCACCCACAGGAGAAATGGGAAAAAGAACTACATTCAAATGGCAATTGTATTAATCTTTCACCTTAAATATATAACTTAAGTTGTATATTTATATAGGAGGGAATATTTATGACTATTTTGAAGCACAACTAGTATAACAAAGAGCACTTTTTTCTTCTTTTTATTAACTATTTTGATCATACCTTTTTTTGGGGGGGGGGATAAGGGGGTTAAAATAACTTTAATATTCATGGTAGTTCATACATGGTTCTGTTTTTTTGTGTTTGGTGCCTTATTTTATAATAATTTTCAGGCATAGATTTACAGGATGTTTACTACCTTTTTCTCGTGCCACTCTTGTTGTGTACCAATGTTAGAGGAGAAGCAGTAGTGCCAATCCTTCCTTCTCCCCTTCATCATAGCCCCTAACATATGCTTATTTTTAAGATGAACAAACAAACTTTCTCTCCGAACATAGAATCAAATACTGGACATAGATATAAACTAACAGCTAATTTGCTATCATTCATACCAGTACTCATTGAAATTTCTTTTGTTATTGTATTAAAGTTATGGAATTATGACAGCGATCTACATTTTATTTGTGTCTCTGTAACGCCCATGCTTTGCTATGATTTCTTCCAGATGATGATCACTGGGTAGTGGACACAGATTACGATACATATGCTCTTCATTATTCCTGCCGTGAGCTAAATGAAGATGGCACTTGCGCTGATAGCTATTCCTTTGTGTTCTCCCGGGACCCCAAGGGATTGCCTCCAGAGGCACAGAAAATTGTTAGACAAAGGCAGATAGACCTCTGCTTGGACAGAAAATACAGAGTTATCGTTCATAATGGTAAGAATTATTTTTTTTTAATAATTTTATTTCAGAACTTAGTATTGGGAATCCCTTTGAATAGCAAATGCATTAAGTTTTATACTTAGTGGCTTTAATATTGTCATTTGAAAACTGGAGCTTTTAATAAGTGCATTTCAACTTTTACTTCCCTTATCAGAAGGAGAGCCAAAGTGTATAGCTTTTTATGTGGCATGTCATATCAGCTGAAGCAATAATTAAAGGAAGCTGTAAAACAATTAAATCAGTGTAGTATGATTAAACATAGTAACTTCTTAGTTGCTGTAAAAACAAATTTTATCTCTTTAATCAGAACTTTTACCTTCCTTGAAAGTAGTTGATGGAGGAAATACAATAGTGAAGAATGAAGAAAAAAGATCAGAGTATTTAGGGCAAAGAAAATAGCATTGTTCCTCCATTCCTACCTTTGCATTCTGGAAGACAGGGTATCTTCAGAAGATTTACTGGTGAGTCAGCTGGATTCCCAACATAGTGCCATGGACAAAAGAGTTAATGGGATTCTTGAATGCATAAGTCATGGATGTTTACAGACTCATATGAGGCATAGATACTTGGCATGGGTCTGCTTGATATGTCATGTTTAATGATGTTGATAACTAGGAAGGATATGAGAATGAATTAGAAATTTCAAAGAAGAGCAAAGAAAGTGGTTGAAAGTTTGTTAAATGTGTCCAGCAGTGAGTGTTTGAAAGAGCTTCATCTTTTTCTCATCAGAGTTTAAAGACTGACCTGAGCAGTCTGTCCTTACCCACACAAGCAATAAGAACCAACTAGTAAAGGGCTTGCAAGCACAGGAATAATAAAATAAAATGGATGGAACTTTAAACTGGATACATTTAGGGCAGAAATAAATAGCTATTTGTTTAACTCCAAAGTTCATTAACCTTTGGAACTGTTTACCAAGAGGCACTGTATGGTCATCACCACTGAAATCTGAAAATCAAGATAAAAGGCTTGTCTAAATAATGTGTTGGAATAAACTGAGATTGACTGAAGGAACTTTTGTGTATTAGGAAGAAAGTCAGAACAGGTGAACACAGTCAAGTCTTGTCTCTGTTACCTGCTCATCTGATCTACAAACAGTAATATATCGCCATGTAGTAAAGTGTCCTGATAAAAAGGTGCATGAAAGATCTACTGAGCTTGGTGGTGTTCAGTATCCTCATTAGTGACCCAGAAAAATCATAGAATCATAGAACATTTTGGGTTGGAAGAGACCTTTAAAATTATGTAGTTCCAACCCCTCTGCTATAGGCAGGGACAAGGACACCTCCCACCAGAAAAGTGCCTGACAACAAGAAAAATGAAATTTTTGTCTTGATGAGAATTTGGAAGCAACATAAAAGTATTTAAGACTGTCAGATTTAAGAGAAATCAAAGATGCAGATTAAACAAGATTTTGATACCTACTTGATAATGAAGCTTCACAGGAAAAATATAACCACTCAGATGCTCTTGAATTCTGACCTGTATGTTCAGGAAAGACGTCTGTATGATGCATCAGACAACATAATTAAAATGCTGCTACATTTGCTGCAGCAACCAGAAAGCTAATGATGTGTTTTATTGTATAAAGTGTAGGATACTTTCTTGTTTTTTCTGTGCCCTGCAAATGACACGTGTCAAGAGCTAAAATTTCTGAAGATTAAAAAAAAAAAAAAAAAAAAAACTAATGAGATTCTTAGGGGTGTAAAGGATGTTTTTGCATTAATCAAAAATAAAGTGTACCTATTCAGCTGCTATGCTGTGACTTTGAAAGATGTGTGTTACAGAGGCTCCTTGCATATCTGTCAAACTCAAAAAAGTGCTACTCCACTGTAAAGTCAGTATGTTAGGCTAGTCCGAGTACTGGTCTGGTTGAGGATTGTTTGATGGAAATTTGTGTTTTGCCTAATGTGGATGAAAAACAATTCATTCTATTTTATTTATTTATTTTTGTGTGTGTGTTTCAGGATTTTGCTCTTAAGGACATCCATAAGTATGGAAGGAAACCATGTAATAGCACCATGGATGTAGAGTTAATACATTGATCAGGTGCTCTTTTAAAAAGATTTTTGATGGCTTCATTTAGATTTAAAATATATTTATCTGAACTGCATAGCTCATTTTGTTAATAAACCAATAAAACATTTCAATAAACTTGGATTACAGGGGATGCAAATTGTCTGTATGCACATCTGTACATATTTAGGCATTGGTTTTATTAATAAATTGTTGCTATAATGCACTATTTTAAATTGCTGACAGTTGACAATAAATTAAGAATTTATTCTTTTTTGTTACTGGGTTCAATTTCTAACTAACAGTGTTTTAATTAAAAATCAAAATATTTGTATTTGCTTCTAAAACTTTTACTTTCTTTTGAAGTAGAATGCCTTTTTTCTTTTCCCCAGTAAATACTGAAAATCTTTCCCAATTGCATTTTAGAAGTGAGAAAAGAATTACAATAACAGTATATATCACTGCTTACTTTTTTGACTACAGAAGTCATAAAAAATGCATCTTTTTAAAATAACTATTTTTCACATGACAAGTAAACATTTATTTATTCTTTATTTATAAATTAGTAGGCATTATATCTACTTAATTCAAGGTGGAACTAAAACAATAATTCACATGCTGATAATAAAGCTTTATAATCTCATCTGCTGAAACCCTTTTGTATGTAGACAGTTATCTAACTATAAAATCAGGGGCTTTTTTTTTTCTTGTAGTCTGCAAGAGCAGAAAACTTCTGAAGATGTACATTTTCACTGTAAAGTTGTCTCAGTAAAAACAAAGAGTAAAGACAGTACAGATCTGCTCTTGATATAGATTCACTATGACTTTATTAAAATTAACAACATTTTTGCCAACTGGAAATGTACTCCCATAAAATTTAATTCTACTAAGTACTTACTTTGACTATTTTACATTCACCAAGTTTGCTGCCATATTTCATTTTCTTCCAGTACAAGCAAAGAGTTCAATCCATTGGATTAAATTGTGCAGATCTTACTGAGGCAAAGCAGTGAGGTCAAGATGATTTGACTTTCTGGAATGCTTTTTTTTTTTTTTTTCTTTTGGCCTCCTCTGGCATATAACGCTATAGCATGCTAACCTAGTCAAACTGGGATAGTATAGACACTGATATCCAAAACGAGTCACTGTTCAGACTTCAAATAATTATCTGGTAATGACAGATAAATGAGATTTTTCACGTTTACTTCTTGCAGAGGTTTCCGAACCAGCCCTAGTACTTACAGGGTTCCCTGTACAACAGAGGAGAATTTCCTGACATTTATGTCTGAAATGGGCAACATTATATAAAACTGGGTTGACAGCAGAGTTGGCAAATGTGAATAGGACTATCCAGAAGAAAACTGATGGCAAAATATTTAAATCTTGTTTGCAGTTCTGGACTAAAATAAAAAAAATAATTACGATAATTGGGCTCCACATGATGAAGAAGGAGATCATCAAAACAATGAGGGCTCGAAATAGTTTGTAGTCTTGCTGGGAAACACGAATCTGATGGTTTTCTGAGTAGGCCAATCCAGCATTTAAACTTCTTCTTGATGCTTTTGTAATCTGCAGTAAAACAGAAGAAAGTAACATTTACTGACACCTATAGAAAAATTCTTAATACATTTTACAGGTGCCAAAATAGATCTTGGTACATGATGTTTCTATTTTTAAAAGTGACCACAAAAAAGGCATTGCAGAATTCCATGTTTACTTTTGTTAATGGTTCCATTTCAACATTTTTACTTTACTAGCAAGGTTTTCTTCCTCACAGCTGTGAATTCACATCAGTATTATTGAAGCCGGGAGTTCTCTGCCTGGCTCTTCACAAGCCATAAAATTTCAGCATAAAATAGAGCCTTAATTACTCATGAAATCCCATTAACTTCAATTTATGACTTCATTTGCTCTATCTAAATAAATCCATTGATCTTTCCATAAATGCAAACTGGAACATAGCTAGCAATCCTGTTGATGCACAAGAACGGACAAAATCTAATTGTATGATTGCTATGCTGGTATTATAAGGTAGGTATTAGAAGCAGCATGAATCATAAATCGTAGTATATTTTAAATTTGAATGGGATTTTAAGTTTTGTCAAAACTCTTAGTTTTTCAGTCATTAATCAGAATTGCATTCTGTGAATTACTCTGAATTCCTACAGCTTCTTTCATCACTATGAAAGTCTCTCTGTGTCTTGTAAACTTATTGACTGATGTAATAGACCAGCGTATGGCTAGTTTGGGGACTATACTATTCATGGGTGCATCTCATCTGTCATTAGAATGTTGAATCTTGAGGGCTTGCAGAAAACTTTAAATCCAGAACTCCGATCTCAGTGTCTTCACTGATGTTTGCACAGCAGATTTAAAGTCTGATGGATCTGTGTATCTGTTGCAAACTAAATAAAATTGAAATATTTTGAAAAATATACTAAATAACTGAGGTGCCCTTTTACATTCTGCATGGGTAAAGAAGGGGTGTTTTCAAAAAGTTGGATTAATTTGGTGTTTAAGTAGGAATTCAAAAGCACGAGAACCTTGTTTCTGATTGTATGTGTGATATATGCCATTACCAGTAACTTAAATGCTAATACTAACACTTAATAGTTTCCTTGTTTAGTTAAAGATGATAATGGACTTTGAGAAAACTGTTAGTCTTACTGCAGTTTTCTGACATTCTCACAGAGATTGATGGCCTACAATAAGTATTTAAGATTCTAGACTTCTGGCAAAATTATCAACAGAATGTAGGTGTATAGATCAAAACGTGTGATAGAAAAATGGGCTTCTCAGTAGTTGTTAGTCCTGAGAAGGAGAGGTCTCATGAGGTACTCCTGTAGGCAGAGGATTCTGATGTTTTAAATATGTAAAACTATTGCAGCTTGATCATATCCTGCAGTATCTACTTGAAATCCAGAAATCAGGCTAGCTCTGAAGGATTCAGTACAAGACTTATGAGCAAACACTGTCTGCCTTCGTAAGGACATGCTTTGTGTAAAATACTACTAACTGATACTCACTTTGACTATAAGAGTGCAGACTTTTAGACATTTATCCAAAAAGTGGAAAGAAACAAGTTGAATGCCCTCCTTGACTTCCAGTTTTCAAAACAACTAAAGAATCTCTTCAACCAGCAGGCCTTGTATCTGTCCTATGAAAATATCCCTCGTATTTCCTGATGGAGCTGCACAGGCTAGAACTAAGAATGCAAGAATGACTAGGACTGCATTTTAATGAAATGTTCAATTGAAGTGGGGTGATAGTGATAAGTTTTGGATCCCTCTCTGGTGTGCTTAGCATAATGAATCTTGATAACTACAGTGGGCACCTGGACCATGCTCTGAAGACCAGAAACTTAAAGGTCATGTATATACAAATAATGTCCTCCCAGCACTAATTTCTTTATTGGTTCTTGCCTCTTCTCTAAATCCACATGGGTTGAGTCTTGCCTGAGAGAGGAAACACTGCAAAAACAATTCAGTTAACAAATTGTGCCTTCTAATCTGTCATTTGTGGAAGTATTGCAAAAAATTAATGTTCAGATTCCGATTAACTTTAGGTACCTTTGGAGAGTACATTTCTCATCAAATTAGAGGTCTTATCTTTGTAGTCAATCATCATCATTGGTGCTGTCTTATCTGAATACAAAAATGCTTTGAAGTGCTTGCAGTAACTCAGCATCATACTGTGTGTAGTTATCATAGAGTGTTCTCACAAAGTTAGAGTGAATCTGTTCTTGGGAATGACTCAGGGATTAAGATATTCTCCAGCTGAGTTCTGGTTGCTTCCTGAATAGCTGTGTGAGAGAGAAGATCCAATTATAACATATGGGAACCTGCTATAGGCCTCATTCCTTTTTCAGTTCAGGAGGAATGGTAACACAATTTAGCATCTGTGTTATCAAGTTGGAAAAGAAGTGCAAGCATAGCAGCATGGGACTGATTTGTAATCCAGTATCTGGATTTCTAAATCTACCAGCTTAATCTGAAGTCTGCAAGAACACCGTTCTTGTCCTGGTCTCTGACCAGGGACTGTGGCATTTCATGGTATGCAGGTTTTTTTGCAATTCTTTCAACAGACTCAGAATCTCCACTGAGTTACTGTATGCTCTTCCCCTACAGCTAGCATGAGGTTACACAAGGCAAGTACTTTGCTTCATTAGAATATGTTTGCCTGATGCATTTACCTCAAGATTGTTATGAGGTCAGAGCATAGGGAAACGAAGAGATTATGATTTTGACTATGAGCCCGATCAATAACAATACATGCAGAGCCTGGAGCGTAGGTCATAGGTTCATGGTAACATCTACATCTAGCTCTGCCTCGTTTACTCACAGCCCCTGGTGCTCACCATTTCACCAATTAATTCCTTGCTCAATAATCTATGTATTCTACAGTTTCTTTCAAAAACCTAAAATGTTCCTTATAAATAATACGTTTAGTTGCATAATAGAGGAACCAGTAATATTGTTGTTACTAAAAAAAAAACAGGCATTCCAGCACTTAGTTTCAAGTTTTCTAATTCTTTTCCCACTTAGCTATTTGAAGAGGAAGGGGTATGAAAAACGTTTTTTTTTAAGGAATTTGGGTATCTAGAATATACACTGTGATGCCTGGTGTCTTGGCCTTATCTTTCAACACCTACTCAGAAAGAGCATGGAAGCAGAGTACTTAGTTTACAGTCTTCGTCTGCAAAGTCAGAAGCTGTGGAGATGTAAGAGTACTCTAATAAAACCTGTGAGCTACAGACATATGCAGAAAGCAGAAAATCAGTAGATCTAAAATGGGAAGAATTTTTATTTCTAGTCCTGCTTTTCTTTGCTTTCCTACAACTCTCTTGTGAGTCCCTATGGTTTAAGCTTAAGGAATGCAAGATCCATTTTTATATTATTTCTGACACTAAAGTCTTTTAGCATTTAAAAGTTTGACAGTCTTTAAATATGAATAACACATAAATGGATACGAGTATTAAATACTATATATAAATGAAGGACAAACTTTATATTGGTCTTCTGGTAATGTGATTTTCAAGTATGTGCCTAGTTGAAAAGTACAGACTGTTACTTACAGGTTGAAATGCCTTTTTTTTAATCACATGCTCTTCTACTTGAGCAAATAATGCACATACTCTTTAGGTGTATTTATATACAGTGATGATACATTGATGCCTAATGAATTACTATTTGTTCCATAGCAAAATTTAAAAAATACCTGTAAGATTTTGGAATAACTGATGATAATGATTAATCCTGGTATTAAAAAAACAACAACAGCATAGGTCACATCCCAGACTATTTCTCCTGCATGGCTGGGCCAATCCAAGGTACAAATATGAATCTCCTGTTTGCAAAGGAAAAAGAAGAAAATGAACATTCTACAGTTGTTTTTCCTATTATGTTCTATTTATCTCTCTGTGTGACCAAGGAAAAATTGACTGCAACCTAAATAGAACCTGTGAAAACTTCCCGTTCAAGCAAAGCTGTCGATTACTGTATTACTTTATATTTTTAAAAGCCCACATGTGTACAGATAGATAAGTTAGATGAATTGTCCACAATCTTACTACTACCGTAAATTCCATATCATATGCTAACAGCAACTTTAAGATAGAAACATATGGACTTAATAATGTATTTGAGTGTCACGTTGGATATACTTTTACATGCATTTCAAAATACCAGAATGAAAAACCTATGCATGGCCACTTTGTACAGAGGCAAGCACGTGTGCTGGATGGCCGTCCAGCTTTCACCCTTACCTCACCAGTGACACTGGGCAGCTGCACCACAGTGAAGAAGCAGCAGAGCGGCAGTGTGACAATAGCGGCAAAGCCCCAGATGAAGAGGGTAGCAGCCAGCAGCTTGCGGCGGCGGAAGGCAGTGTGGTGCAGCCGAGCAATGCTGATGACCCTCTCCAGGCTGACGGCTGAGAGAGAGACAATGACAACAGTGCCACTGAGGGTCATCGCATAGAAGAGCATGTGGCAGATGACATCGCCCAGCACCCAGGTCTCGGTCCAGCGCACGATGCCAATGAACGGGATGGCGGAGATGAAGAGCAGGTCGGCACAGAAGAGGTTGAGGACGAGGTAATTGGCAGCACACAGCCGTTGCTGCCGCCACACCAGCAGGCAGATGCCCCAGATGTTGCCCACTAAGGCCAGCAGGAAGACGGAGCCCAGCGCAACCGACTCGCCGACACGCAGGGCCGTCACGTTGCCACCCCTGAAGTCTGAGAAGAATGGGAAGTAAGTCTTGTTCTCCCCTGGTGTGCACTCAGCCCCGACCATGAGGGTGGCTGGGGAGCATCAGAGTGCTGCTGCAGGCAGCGGCACCATCCCTTGGGGAAAGGCTGCACTGCCAACCAACACGGTGGCACGTGGGGTGCTCTGACACAGGGCCGAGGGGCTGGCTGCCATCCCCCTCCTCTTCTTCCTTCTATCTCTGCTGCTGAGGGCTCGGCTGTGCCAGCCGTACAGTTTATGGCCCTCATAGTGCAGTGCGACAAGGAAGTGGGAGGGTAAACACAGCACAACTCACACAAAGGTGAGGCTGCGTGCATGAGGAGGCAGTGACGGGCTGGGTGTGAGTGGGGCCTCCTGACACCTCCCCAGGGAGGGCATGGGGCTGAGCGGTGGCACCTCCATGTCAAAGGAACCTGGGCCTGACCACTTTCCTCATGACAGCTCTGCTTTCAGACAGGCCCTTTAGGTGCCAAGTGGGCTGGGGAGGCCTTGCAGGCTGCTCCAAGATGCTCCCTTCTGCTAAAAGACATGCACAAAAACACAGGGTGAAACAGAAGCCCCGGGAGGGGCTTTCAAGGAGGAATGGCTGTGCAAGCTTGTCTTGGGAGGCAGGAAAACAAGCTCTGTCCTAAGGTAAAAGAAGAGGGATCTATTGATTTCCTCATGTCTTGGCAGGGACCTTTGAAATGTGGTCTTGTGTACTGCTTGTATAAACTGTAGTCCCACGTGGAGGGGAGATGTCACCATAGTGGTTTTTGGAATTCTTACACTAGGTTGACTAGAGTCCTACCTGTTCTCCATGTTATGAGTTCTGGCAAAGAAACCTTGTTAATCTAGACATAAGTAGAAAATACAATCTTTTCTCGGGATATTAACTTCTGAGAGCAGTTGCTCAAATGCTAGAGGTGGCCTTCCTGCTTACACTCTGGGCTGGGACTGAAGCATATAAATGGTCAAAATCAAGCAGATAATGCCTCGTAAAAGAAGATAAAATGTTTTAAGGAACTGTGTAAACAGTTGTATAACTTCAGACAGCTCTAGATGAGTGTTTTATTCACTGCCAATGTAAGTGCTTAATGTGTCTGTTACAGGCTTTGGCATATGGAGCTATACCTTTTGATTTTCCTATCAACTGTTATTCTAAGTGAAAGTTGTTCCAAGCCGATGTATCAGCACAGCTCTGTAAGGAGACATTGCTTTTGCAGTGTTCTGGATGTGATCTCTGCAATGAACCCGTTACTTAATGGCATTAGTGGGGATTCCAGAACCCTGGCCACAATTTATATTGGTTCTGCCATGGGCTGATCCTGTAAAATATGTAGCAAATCTTTAAAAACAGCAGATACCTTCCTGGTGTCCTACCAGGCCTGGGGCTTTATACAAGCTGACAAGCTAGTCCCAAAATTGTGGGTGAATAGCAATAGCAGTGATGTGGCCAGTTCTGAATAGGAGCTGGGATGCAGGAAAGAGCCATTGTTTAGAAGCTTGTGCCTGTGCAAAAACTTGGAAGGCATTAAAGGAATATGTAGTGAGCAGCTGACAAATAGTAGCACAGATTAATGAAAATCATGAGTAAAATCTTCAGCCCCTTTGGTATCAATGAAAAATTAAATCAGAACCTGATCTTATCAATTCAGGGTAAAGTGAACACATTTGAAACAGAATGGGGGAAAGAAAATAGGGAGCAAAACATCCAAAGCAGCATTATTGAAGAAGTTAAGATGTACTCCATCAGAAAGGAAAAGAATGCAATAAATGAACCAAACGTTTGAAAATGGATGATACTGAGAATTATCAGGACATATCCTTGATCTTTAGCAAGGGTTACCTTTAGCTTTGGTCCTTAGATGTGAACAAGAGCTCTCTTTGGTATAAACCAGTTGTTACTCAGGAGTACCAAAGCAAAATGTTACTTTCAGAATGCCATCAGTGAATGAGTTTCACACTGCTGTCTGCAGAAAATACTGTACAAGGTACAAGGGGACTGCAGAGGTGTTTAAAAAAAACCCAGCATATTATAATGGGATGTTATCAAATGAATTGGAGTTCCTTGTACAAAAAAAAAAAAAAAAAAGATTGATTATTTGATTATTCATGTCTAATGGATCCATTTACCTAAAATAATACGTTTCCCTCCATGAATTACAAAAGCTATGTTTGCAATTGAATAGCTACAATCATAGCAACCATCACAACGTGAAATCTGAGGAAGGGAGGAATTGTAACCTCAATATACCTACTCTTGCAGTACTGTAATAGGTGGGTGCTGTGTGCAGTATATAGTCCATGCATGCTTATGAACAGGAAGTGATTAGCAAAATGCTTGGAAACCTGTTACCATGTATCATTTTTTCAACTTAATTTACATTCAGAAGCAATGAAACACAGAGACAACTCCAATCTCACAGTTCTAGACTGAATGAAAGTAGTTGGGATCTCTGAGGAGCTAGTTAGCTAGCCTCAGGAGTTAAATCTCATGTTTCTTTTTTTTAATTTATTGTTCTGGTCCTGATTAACAGCTCTAGTCTTTCCTTCTCTGTGGCAAGTAAGTGCTATGTTACCTGATATCATAAGCCAAGCTCGGTTTTTCAGATTGTTCCCCTGACAACCATGAACTGTCATGACAGATGGGGGTAGTTCAGCTTATTTATTTCTTGTGCATAAGAAATACTCCCATGGAGAGGGACATTCTGAGCTAGGCAATGTTGGAGATGGGGTTTTTTTTTTTCATTTGGACGTGACCATGGAAAGATTTTTGCCTTAATAATTTCTTAATAATCTCTCGCATGTAAATTGTTGTTTAGGTCTTTGGGCAGTATTTCCATGCACCCATGTCACAAGTAAATAACATTCACTTTTGTAATGGGTGTGTTGTATATTTACTGTTTGCTGAGTGATATAAGTTTGTTGCGTTAGAAATATTGACTCTTTGTCTTCACAACAGAAGTTTCAAGCTGGCAGGTGACTCAAGCTATGTCTATATAATAAGAGTTTCAGCGTTAGGTTTCAACGCAGATTAGCTTTCTATTTTCAATTTTTTCTTTCATATACGGTTCTTGTAGCTCTTCTGCTTGTAGACTTGAGTTGTTCTGTTTCTGTGCTTGGAAGAAGCTATGCCACTGTAGTATTTGTTTCAGATACAAACCTGCTTTTAGCTATTCTGCTTTTTAGAGAGTTTTCTAGCTGCTCACTCACAGTATGCTTTCACATCAGTGAGCTGAAGCATTTACACCAGTGTCCAAGTGACTATTCTAAATTTGTAGTGCAAATATGAACGCCTGTGTTTGTATTCATGTAGTAGAAAGCTCACCCACTCCAGAGTTCATGGGAAATAGCAGATGTTTTACGAATCTGTGTGACTGTATCAAATACTGACTCTTTAGTTTCTTTTGGGAAGCCTTATTTTCCTGTGGTCACTGTCCCTCAGAAAAAGGCTGGGAGCTGGATCAGGTTTTTTGTCAACAGCACCACCAGAAATTTTTGTCAAGTTATCTTATGGCATGTAGTAAAGGAGGCATTTCTCTGTAAGCTAAGTGCGTATGTAAGTATGGAATCCACATAAGGGTGAGTTCTTCACACAGTCGTAATCTCTGTTATGCTACACTCTACGCAGAGCTTCACAAGGGTGACTCAGCTCCAGCTGGGCTCTCCTGACTAAATGTAGTTTCCTGTAAGTTTAAGATACTGTATTACATTTACACATCTTGAACCTGGATTTCAGGAGTTCCTTGCCCTTACCAAGGAACTGAGACCAGAGCTAGATGTATATAGAGTACTGTAGTCTGATATTGAAGCGCCACTGAACTTAGCAGCACTGCTCTTCTCCTGCCAGCCCTGCCCCAGCTCTCTGATATTAATTTTCAGTTATGCTTAAAGTTACTTACATTCCTGCTGATGAGATTTAATGGAGATCCACCAAAGAATAGACTATATTGTTCCTCTAGAGAACTTATAAACAAAAATTGTCATCAACCTGTCTTCTTCATGAGATGTATTCAGATCTTCTTTGAATACATCTGTGCACTGGATTGCATACAATCATGTCATAATTTTCTCTCATATTCCATAGACAGTAACTAGAGAATGCTCTTATTTACAGACTGGCTTGCTTTCTTTCCATTATATCTTAGAAATGACTTGATAAGCAGAGATTCTTCAGGTCATAATCAGGATAAAAGCTTTCATTTCTGAAATTTCTGGCATTTCTGAAATAATAGGCTACAGAGTAACTCCCGGCAACCAAAAAGTGCTGTCTTTCTTGAAGAGGTTTGTGCTCAGCTAGCACAGATGAGAGAAACAGAAAAGCCATTCTTGCACCACCAGTGAGAGAAAGTACAGATAACTCCTTTAAGTCATGATGTAAAACCCACTGACTTCCCAAGTGTAATGCTAAATCATATTAATTATTTCCCCCACTGCTCTCATGTTTTTTGTTATCTGTGGCTGGTTGGGGTCTGATTACATTAGAATTTAAAATGAGATAATTAAAGAGAAGCAGCATACAGCCTCTCGTAAGCCATGTCCAGACACATGGACACTTAAATTAGGCTGTATAGTTTTCCATCTAATTGAATGAGATAATACTGACCAGATCATACTTGTTACGTTAATAAAACTTGAACTTTCGCTAATGCAGTGTGCTTGCTCACTACTTTGGAGAAGATCAGAGAAATTAAACCTGGCTGCACTTCTGTCAGGAAGCAAGCTGGTACTACTGATAAAGTCCCAGACTTCTTTATTTGAAGGATGTTCTGAGGCACTTCGTCTCGCTCTCTCATTTTGAGACTTCTCACTCAGCTTGAAATACTTAGGCTACCATTTGGCTAGAAGGGCAGCAGAAATGAACTCAGGTCTTTGGAATGGATGGATGGATTAGACAGTTTTATGTCACTGTCCCTGTGGAGATTTTACAGCCTCAGTGAGTAGTGTTTCACTGCTTATGTATCCCAACCACCAGAACGATTTTCCTTATGTCAGTTTCTTGAAGTACAGTACTTGAAATTAGATGTGGTATTCCAGCTAAAACACTCATCATTATCACGTAGAAATATGTGTGATACATATAACAGTCTGTTTATTCATTATGTAAAACTGTACAATCTTGCAAGTAGGATAATGTATCACACTCCATTTCTGCAACTTTCCTGAGAATTTGATAAACTGTCATACCACTGATTTTGCTTTTAGATAGTTGATTATTTGTACTTGTAATAGCTACTGTATTCATCCTGTTTCAGCTCATTAGTCTTGAGAAACTGAAAATTAATGATGTTCTCTGAAGAGCTCTTAGTTCCTACCTTGGATTATCTCAGACTTCCTGCATACAGTGCTGCAGCATTATGCGCTTCATTTTTGAAAATCCATAGTTTTGGAATCAAGTAGATTAGCCTGGAATTGCCTAATACATCCCTTATTTAATCATTTCATGTTTTCACAGGAGTTCAAGGGAAACCTAGGAGAGAAATCCAGAGAGCTACAAACATATGGGAACTGTGTCTGGCTCTTAAAGCCTGAGATTTTCAGGTCTCAGAGATGAGATACATCACCTATCCTTATACTCAACATCCACTTGATGCTGTTTGCCAGAGATACTGTAAGTTCCAATCATGTAAGTTAGAGCAGAGATCCACCTTTAGCTGCATTTATGTTCTAGTAGCTATGAATTATTGATACTTAAATATTATAGCTTTTCAACTACTTGTGCTACCTGTGGTATAGGCTAGAGGAAATAATTACATTTCCCTGCATTAAGAAACTAGCATTTGAGACTAAAGTTCACATTAGCATTTTTTTTTCTCCTCTCCACAATAAGGAGAACTGCAAGTATATGGTATGACTCCAAGTGTCAGCTCTTGATGGTCTTTTTTTTCTTTTTCCAGGAATTGTAGTTAGGTTGATTTTCTCTAAATTCATATGGCTTTTCTTCTTCCTCGTTAGGTATCATGCTTTTCTTTCATTTCCTCTGAGTCTTAAAATCCCACCTACCTTCCATAGGCCTCAAACATCATAGCATGTGGATGATCTCGGGGAAGTCCTCCACTGTTCTCGTCTGGTAGATTCATAACTGCTCAACCTTGTGTTGTCTTGAAAATAGCCCAAATGGACTTCATCTGTGACAGTGGTTCTTTTGAATACCTGGAGACTTTCAACAAGATCATTCCTTACTGCAGGGAACAGATCAACTGGGCTACCAAATTGTCATGTTTTTCAAATTAGAGGAAAGAAAAGATTTAGAACTGCTACAAGCAGTGTTGTATGCGCTGTAGTTTGTATAATAAGACAGTGTATCTTTCTTGTATAATTTTTATCATCTTTACACTGAAACCAACTGCTACTGTAATCTTAACTGTTCAAGCACATAGAAGATGTGGAAACTAATAGGTTGAGTGGCAGTTTAAAATAGAACTGCTATATTTTCATTACTTGTAATCTCTCTCCTTCATCTGCTTTGTCACAGAGATATCACGAGGGTGGCACTATTCCCCATAATCTTGTTTTGAGGACACCATGCCATTCATGGTAACATTAGCTGCCAGACAGAGGCATCCAGTTCTCTAAATATTTGTGGGGCTCAGCATGATTCTTTTACAGCATAAAAGGCACTATGCCTTCCTGCCATAATACATTTGCGTGGTTAAAGTGGTTTATAATATAGCTCGCCTAAATATCTGTAAAACAGCTGTTGGCACAGCAAATAACTGCACAAGATTACCAAGATCAGGACTGAGAAATAAAATTGCATGAGCAAATAAGCGATGAAGAGTTGACTGAATGGTTCATTGGATACAATCTCATATTAAGTTGAGTAAGAGCTATCTTTCAGTTGCTGTTACTTCATTAGGAGTTGTCCTTGCATTAAAAAAAAGAAAAAGACATTTGCTAGGCTCAGTATAGCTTTCATTCCAATCACACTTATCACATCGAAAGCACTTAATTCAGTTTCTATGTACAAAGAACCATATATGTGAAAGCCAGGATTTATTAATATTCTGTATTAATCCATAAGCTTTCCTAGACTGACATCTTCATATATGCAGATTTCAGAGTTTTTTCAATGTTGAAATACAGTTGTGTTAAAATTCAGTTACTTGAAATAGACATAGGAATAGACTGCTGAAATACCAAAAGTGTTTGAGATACCAGCACTTTTTTTTTTTCTTTTTTGAATTCTTGCCTTAATTATTAAACTTACAGCTAAGTCCTAGCATTAAGACAAGCATTAGGTAGAAACCCACCTTTTGTAGATATAAAAAGAGAGAAAAGCAGCAGAACTTTTACAGGACCTGTTTACATTCAGGAAAAAAAAACCTTCAGTCTTTGAATTTTTCTTCACTTCCAGTGACCACAGGAGAGAGACAGTGATATGACCTGCATGCTTTATGAAAGAGCAAGAGTGCCCTTCTATGGTTGGTAGTAATAACAAATTGGTGATTGTGCATTCAAAGTAAGACTTCCCACACTCAAGAATTTCATTTTGCTACTTTTCAAACAACATCAATGCTGTACAAATGTATCATTACATTCTCTTATGTTGCACCAACGTAAGTGCAACATAAGATAGGTTATTATATATAGACCTAAGCATGTTAAAATCCAGAGGAGGTGTTGGAATAACAAAGCACTTTAAAAAAAATATCAGGCTATCAACTTTATTGGAATCCCCTCTATTTAGTATTAAATAACTGAGCAGCTAATGAGCTGCAGTCTTTCAGTCCTCCTTGGTAGCATCAGCTTTAATGAAAAAGCATTTTAAGCTAATTTAAGAAAGTCTAAATTATTGCAGAGAAGACCTGCAGCAGGCAAACTTATTTCATCTATAATACATAAAAGATCAGAATTTATTGCAGAAACCATGCTGAATATACAGCTGGGAATGGAGTACTAGCTGATTAATGTTATTAAAAGACACCTAACCTAAAATTCTAAAATAGTTCAATAAGTGATTAAGGTCATTAGGTTGAAATGAAAAGCATGGTTATCCCAAATTTAAAAGATGTGAAGTGAAGAGAATTTCCATCATGACAAAAACTTTAGGGTTCTGAAGCACAGTTTGCTTGCCAAATTGTCAGAGACAAAGATTAGCCTGACGGTCAGTGAAATTGAGAAGTGGTGACATAATTGTTGTCTTTCTTTAAGTATTAGCTTTTAACAACATATGATGCAATATTGCAATAGTAACTGGAAACAACTTTGAAAATACCCCTATATTTAAAAATAATGCTTAACCATTCAAGAATAGGGAGAACTTTATGGGTCAGATGCACAGAGTAACACTGGCTAGCAATTCAGAACAGTACACCAGGGACAGATTTATCTTACAGTTTGTGTGCAGGTAATTTGCTGGTCTCAGCAAACCATAGAATTGTAGGAGAAGTTCATTTTTTTAGTTTTTGCCTTCCAAGTAGTCCTTAATTTAATCATTCTCATGATAACAATGACTTAGACTTCACTACAGGTAAAATGAGGAAAATACTCACAACAAACCCAGGTCTACAGTAGATTGAGAGAATTGTGCTGTAATCACAAAACAATAACGCTCCATTTTCTGTCAGTTTCAAAACTGGATATGTCAAGTATTAATCCAACACAGCAGTGCATTTTTTACTGCTCTCATTTTTAATAGTGCAAAAAAAAAAAATAATAAATCAGTAGTTTGCTCTATGAAAATAGCCCTAATTCTACAGATATTTCCATTTGCAAGCAAAAATACGGTGACTATTTCCACAAGAGTCAAGTGGAAAATTTGATGCCAAATAAATTACTGTTTTCACTGAACAGAAATAGAAAGTCCTTCATTTAGCCTTCAAAGAAAAGTTTTACAAAAATATTTTGCCTTTTTAAACAGTATACTGGCAGTGCATAAAGAGCAAATAAGTCCATTTGGAGCTTAAGCTGTACAGAAATCAATATGCGCTAGTAATTCTCTGTGCTTGCTTGTTGGATACTGCGCTTTACATCTGGGACACTCAAGGAAACTTTCATCAAGGAGATTTGAATGTTTCTGCGAAGGACTACTATCATATGCTGCAATCTTCTCTTCAAATGCAGCTTGCAAATCTTCTTGTGGTTCCATACGTCCAGACTCCTGGAGCTTCTGAAAAAGGAAAAGGTTTAGTGAAGAACTGGGGCATGCTTGAATGAGGTTCTGATCATATAGATGTAGGAAAAAAAGATTTGGTGGCACAAATTACATGTTACATACAGCACTAAGGACATAATTTTGAAGATGGCTAAATGCAGTTATGCTATTGCATTAATAGCAAGAGGCAGTATGGGCCTGTTGAATAATTTTCATATGATATTTGAATTAGATTGCAGGTAGCTTTTCTGCAGGCTACTTAACACAGGCTTTCTACAACATCTCATGAAGTACAAACAGATAAGATAGAGCACATCAATTACATTATAGCAGTATTTAATGTATATTCTTAGTTTGAAGTAGCTCTTCTCCTTCATGAACCACTGAAGGAAAACATGAGTCCTGTCACTTTAAACACTGTGCAGCAGCTATCAGAGTATTTCATAAGGTAACAAAAAAGCCATGGCGGAAGCTATGACAGCAAGCTTCAAACTCACACATTATCATTGCTGATCTGCAGCTACTTGGCCATCTTACAACTTTCATACACATTCTAATTAAAAAGCCAAATTTCTGCACCCTAAATACTGAACAATGGAACATGACTTGCAGAAGTGTTAGTACTGCACACAGATCTTAATGCATTTTTGTCTACCTATGTAGGGGTTGGAGGGTTGTGTATTGTTGTGTATTCTTGAGGGGGAAGAAGCCTGACAGAAGGGAAGAATGAAGGAAATAAAAAATAGAAACTGACTGAAGCTTTCTTACAGCAGGACCACAAGCCTCATGAAAATCAAACATTGAAGACTGTATTTATTTTAGAAATTCCTTTGAAAGTTCTAAAAACATGCCATATATGCATTAGGGAATTCAACATGATTTACAATTACACCTACACTTAGGAAATTTCTCCTTTTTGCAAAGAATTCTTATCCAACAATCTTTCTAGCCATTCATAAAGTATCCCCCCCTTAATCAAATGCACCAATCCACACTACGCAGGATGCTGCCTCTGCCTAATTTCCTTCCTAAACTCCTTTATTTTCCCTTCTCCACCTGACGCTATGAACTACAGTCTCTATGCATGAAGCTTTCCCTTTATGGACAACAGGACCCAACAGCTATCCATCCAAATTCTCAGCACAGGGAAACTGAACACTGCAGCCCTGCAGAAGCTCCCGCAGCTGGATTTTCTAGTGGCCTCTGCTGGCAGTAGCAGCAACTATGAGACAGAATTCCTCTGATCTGCAACTTGTTAGTGGCTGTAGGATTTATCTTTTCTGGAAGCAGCAAGGCAGCCTCAAACCTGATCTAATGAAGGATACAGGCATGTAATTTTTTCCTTCTGAACCTCACTTAAGTCCAGAACTGCAGACTCCACAATTCTATTCAGCTATCACAATTTTGCAAGACCCTTAACAGAGTTCAGGAACACCAACAGTCAAAATACATTTATGCTGAAGACTGAGGCAGTTCTGGATACAACAGAGCAAACAGATTGCTTGATGTTTAATCTTTCCTTTTGAATTTCTGTTGAAACCAGTGGTCGAATCTAGGTGGCTTTCTTTGGGATTATATAAGTAGCAAGCAGAACATGGCCCGCAGACAATACTAACATCCTACTAACATCCCTTTTTATCTTAGGAGTTAAACAGATCTTTCTGAAAATGGATGAATATTGTAATCCATCCATTCCATGTAAGAGATACAGGATAGAGTGTGGGGAGAGGGATTCAGCTGTAAGGGTTGTGCCTTGTTGACTAGCAGCAAGTTTAAGTAGAAGCATACTACACTCCTGTTTCTGTACAACAGACAAAACTAGAGATACATTGTGACAAAACAATTATGTTCTCTATTGAGGAACCTGACTATTCTGCACCTCCTTCTGCAGTATCACTTCTCTGTAACAGAATTTGTATTTAACTAGCTAATGTAGGGTTCTGCATCATTGGACTGCATAGTTAATGGATGTAAGCAACTACAGTGAATGCCTGATGACATGAACAGAAGACTCACTACATCCTGGGTGAGAAGTTGTTCATTTATGCAAAATTCCTGCAAGTTACTCAGTACATACCAGAGGTTCAAGACGAGTTATTTGCTCCCTAGCCTTGAACAATTCCTTAAAGATTTTGTTTAACTGATGCTTCAAGTTCTGGCGGTCAAGCTTCTCATTCTCCAAGTCTGCAGTGCATATTTGAATCTTGCAACCCCACAAAGGGAAAAGATGTAAAAGTAGAATTATCAAGAATGCGGTGGAAGGAGGGCGATTTTCCCTCTTTATGTATTTAAAACAAGCTTTACTTATAATCATGTCCTAAAATACATTAAAATCATCTGTTGCTTTCATTTCAGTGGAATATGCTCAATTAATAATTAGAGGTAGAGTTAAAAGTTATTTTGATTGGAGGATATTTCATCTGTCTCACACTCCTAAACTGAAGATTTTCTGGAAAAGCATATAGTGGAAGTTTACCCCCAGAAAGGCCAGTTTCTACTCCATGATCTTTGTTGTAGCAATCTGAAAGGAAACTATGGGCAACACTATACCACAGCTTAGCAAACATATAACATTTTGTCCCAAGGATTTAAGTGAGATCTCTTAAAACTTCCTTGAAAAAACAGAGAGCAGATGGCAATGCAGTTATTTGCACATTACAAGTTTCAATGAGCTGATTGGTTTTAGGATGTTTCCCAGACCTAATTTGAGGCTGTGCAGTATTTATTTGAAATAATGATTGTGCAGAAAGTAGCATTAGTTGCAGCCTCTTACAGATTTCCTCCAGAAAACACAAGAATTTTTAGAAGCACAGAGGGATCACCCAGAGATGCATATTAGTATCTATTATTACTTTAATATACTACTTATTCTTAAGTTTGAAGTATAATATGCACATAGACTTTCTAAAACAATTTAAGTATCAAATTCTTGAAAAAAAATCAACTCACATCCAAACATGTAACTGCATACCTGTTGTTCCAACAAAGCTATCCTAGTGTGTTCCTCCTGCTGCTTGAGCAATGATTTACGAAGAAGTTGTACCTACAAGGCAGAAAAACAAGCAATTTCCATGCACAGTAAGTTTAAGAAAAAATTCCCAAGGAGGAAAGGAACTAAACTTTTGTATTCCAGTGCCAGCAGAAAACACATGCCTATTTTACAGCAGCCAAACAGGATTCAAATACCTCTCTTTCCCTGGGGAAAACCCCAGGAAAATGTTATTACGGTACAGAGTAGGGAAGAATGTAGATTGATGTTTTACTGAATAAAAAAAATAAAGAGGAATAAAAACCAACTGAACTTTCCCAGGTGATTGGCTGAACAGAAAAATACATGTATAAAAAAGCCTATGTAACACGACATACTATTGTTTTTAATAAGCAGTTTAGCTTACTTTAAATAGAACTGAAAAGTATAAGGCATTAACTAAATGCATTTATAAGATATCCTCCATTTACAGGGCATACCAAACTTTTAAAATGAATGCTTTTGTTCTGTTGAAAAATTACAAAGTAACAGTTTACTATTAACCATCAATAACCACTATCTTGCATCTAGAGAGCTAGTCTGATATTCTAGTTTTAGCCTAGATCAATGCCTATTGATTTACATCTTACTTCAAATTTCGGCTCAATTGACCACCAAGTACAAAGTGTATCTTATTTGGATGACCTGAGTATAGTCCATAAAGAAGAACTTGCCAGGTTCTCTTCATCTAAGAGATGGCCACTATCTCATGTCCAGAAGAAAGTTCTATTTAGCACCACAATGCTGACAGGAATACTTTAATTTACCCACTGTAGTTGTCCACACAGGGAGTCCTTGTGACAACTCCAAACAAAAGGTAAGCACTGAATTATTTTTAACATTAACATACAGCATAAGCTGTTTTCCCAACTCTGCTCAGCCAGATAGGTAGTGAAAAGTAATTGGGCTAAAGAAAAAGGAGGAGTCAAGAACTTCACATAGTGGCTTAAATAACATTGTTCATAAGTTACTCTCTGGGAAACAGGCAAGCCCTGCAAACAGTTAGAAAATGATAGAAAAGCAGCAGGTGAGGCAGCAGCACAAGCCATGCATAACAAACAGCTTGCCTCACAGGCAACTTCCTGGGCTCCGTAATGAGTTACAGAACTCTTGTCATTGGTTTCTAATATAGTTGTCTCCAAGACAGCAATAGTTGAAGTTCCATTGCATCCCTTATCTACACATTGCTTTTCAGTAGCAAGATGCATTTGATAATGTTTTATCCCGGGCATAATACAGAAAACTGAGGATGGGATCTGAGTGGGGAAAAAAAGGAAAAAAAAAAACTGGTGTAGGCTGCAGCAGTCAGTTGGAGACACTATCCAGGAAGATGTGTCTGTTTATCCAGTAAATGTTAGACTACAGCTAATAGTAAATACCAGTTACGTTCCACTTTGGACCACAAAATAGAACAACATATTAAACTTGATTTTTTACCTTTTTTGTTCTCATTCACCAATAATCTTGAGGATGAAGCTTAATTAAAACCTATGATCCATTCTCCTGCTCCATTTTGTGCACCCACAGTACTACTGAAATAAACAAACTCATGCTTAAATGAGGAAGTTTCACAAAACCAGATCACTGAACCAGTATGAAAGGATTCAGTTTTAACCACAAGGAGGATATGAGTATAGGTGAACACAAATAGCGATTATCAGACCAAGTGACAGTCTGTTCTGATGAAGTATGGCTTTCCAGCTGCCTTGATTCTTTGCTAATGATCTTCAGTTTTTAATTTGCTTACCTGAGATGAGAGATCTTCAGACTTTTTCTTTTCCTCTCGTAGCTGTAATTTAATACTTTCATTTTCTTGTTTTAGTATCTGTATTTTCTCTCCTTTAATTTTGTTTTCGTTTTCTTGATCCTTCATTTCAACAACAGGTTGTGACTGCAGTAAGGCATTTAAGCTCATTATTTCTTGTCGTCTTTCTTCGTACTTCTTTTTGAACTCATTAAGTTCACATTTCAACTGGGTTACAGTGCATCTTTCAGCTTCAAGATCACTCTTTGCATTTTCTAAGAGCTGATCATAATGTTTTTGCTTTTCTTGTAGATGTCCTTAATGAGATAAGGAGAGAATACACAATAACACCTCAGAAGCAGAGCACCAAACTCCTGATAGCATTTTGAAGCACACTGATGACATTTTAGCATATTACACAGGCTAGATCATCACCAAACTAAATTAAAACAGCTTTATAAACGTCAAAGCAGTAACTATCCTTCTTTAAGGTGCTTAAAGTGCTACAGCCACTTCCTTCACTAACTGTTATAGCAACATTACAGCATTTGTCCTGACTACATGAGCTGTATGGTCCCACTAATAGTTCTCATGCAGCATCATGCATTATACTGAAACATCAGAACAGAGATCAAAAGACATTAGAATCTCATGTTTCAATTTACATTCCTTAGTCAAGGTTCCATTATTACTTTCTCCCTAGAGACATCCTGGGGGGGGGGGGGGGTCTTTATAAGTTCTGCTCTATCACCACACAGAAATGGAATATCTGTTGTCTTCAAGTTGTACGTGATCACTTCTACATTGCTTTTAAAGGAAAAAGAAGTAGGTTTTTTGATGAAGAATGTCTGTTTCTTAGCTAACGACCTTTGCTTAAATCACTGTTCAAATAGTTCACGCTTCTCGACCCAAGAAAAAACTAACTAGGAAAAAGTGCTCCATAGAAATTCATAATATAAAGTACATCTAGAAGCAGAATAAAGAATGCTGTCATTCACAGTCCCTTATGATTTCTGGTACTCAAGTTCTTGTCTTGTGTACTTCTCCTGTTGAAGATTTCCCTCATGTTCTTCAAAATGAAACTTACTAGGGAAAGTTTCTTCCTTGAATGCTCAACACTCCCCACCTGATGCTAAGCCTTAAATTTATTAGCAATACTGCTTTACAGGGCAATGAGCTCTTCAGAGAGATGTCAACATTTTCCTTGGAAAAAAAAAAACATTTTCAATTCATATAGCTAGCTTTTTAATCTTTGATTTCTACTGCTCTCTATTTGCTTGAAGAGGAACATTTACTCTGTGTTTCTTGGCTGCTTTCATGACAAAGCTTTGACCATAGTAACTCTGATTACTTCATCTGGTGAGCTACTACAGGCTGCCCTCCCTCCAATACACTGTTCATAGACTCTTAAAGATTTAAAAAGTAACATTTCACAGTTTTCTGTAAGGTTACCAGCAGCAACATAGAAACAAAGCCACTGCATATTAATTACAAAGTGGTAATTACCCATAGAACTATCCTCACCTGGAGTAATAACATGCCTATTTCATATATTTACCTTGCAGATCAGCTGCAGTATGAAACTGATAATTTGATGTGAAAAGGAAGCCAACTCCTTCTGGCTCTTCTGTTCAAAATTAATTTTATCCTACAAGCTGGTCAAGCATGACTCAAGTCAATCTGAATACATGCTACAGAGAAGGTGCTTAATGAGGAACTCCACAACATGGAAGTAAGCTAGAGGTAACCAGACCCATTATTGCAAAACATTTTGGACAAGTGTCAAAACCTATCACAGATGCCAAATGTTCTTTATTCATCTGAACAGATCATGTCAGGCTTGAGTCATTTTTATAATATTTATTTTGAAAGAAACAGACTGATACACACCTAGCCAGTAAATTCTTAATGCTTTCTTTATGGAGGCTGTGTACTTTGAAGGATGGGAGATATGCATATATTTACCTCAACACTTTTAGCAAGCAGAAAGGTGGCCAATAAACTGTCAAAGCTTTTACAAAAAAATGTTTAGTGAAGTAAATAGGAAAAAGAGGAAATGATCAGGTAACACAACTAAAAAACAGGAAACAAAGAAATTCAGAAGTTTCACAAATAAAGCAAAATATTATGAAGAAAGTCAATGATCACTGCTTTTATAGGAAATGTATTTTACAGATAATTATGGTTTGGGTCATTCATGGAAAAAAAAAAATCAATACCTTCTGCATTAGATTCTTTGGGTTGTTGCTGACTAACAGTTTCCAATCTCTGTTCAAGTTCCAAGATCCTTCCCAGCAGTCCCCTGACATATGCTTCACGTTGCTGGTCATACAGTAACCACTGCTGGTTTTTCTCAAGAGCCTTTGTGGAAAAAAAAATAAAAAAGCCTCTAGTACTTCACCAGATTTGTAAGTATTATTCACCTTGTTTCTTAACGAAAGAGGAAAAACTACATGTTTTACATTTGTTTAAAGAAAAGCTACTTAGTTTTCCTGCAAACTGCATTAATCTTTTCTGCATAATTAATAAAACTTTTCTTGGTGTTATTGAGCATAAGTTAAAAAAAGCAGCAATATTAAATTCTGATTGGCTTGTTTACTGGAAAAGGGAAATCACTGAAAAATTTAATGAATTAACCTTTCGTTTGGTCAAATACAGTGGAATAAGCTAACACTACAGCTTACAGTCTGATGGCAGATATCTTCTTATCAGCTTTATCTGATAGTATCCTCTACCATACCCCCTGAGGTCCCATTCTAACAAAAAATATATATGGTGATCATTTACATTCTTATACATTATAATACATTATTTTACATATAATGTTGTATAGGAGAACTTACATCTTTTAGCTGTTTTTCAACTTCACTAAGATTAGTTGGAGATCCAGGGCAGTTTATTACTGTTTCCTACAGACAAAGAGCAATCAATTAGCATTCTTTAAAATAGAAGAGCATATCTAGTTCTGTATAACTATTAATCCCAGGGTTAGCATAATAGTAGTTTAAAACTTAAGATGCATTTATCTGACACTTGAATTAAAAAAGAAAATCTATGTTCTATTTTAAGAAGGAACTAGATTACATGGCAAAACATTACATAGATTTTTTTTTTAAAGTCTCCTGGAAAATATAAGACATACCTCAATTTAGTTCACTGAATAACAGTTACATTAAAACATTTCATAAAAACACCACTTTTGGTTGAACTCCTGTCTTGAGAGATCTGAAGGGTACAGGAAAGCTTCTGCAGAACTCAAATATCTACAGGTTTTACTTAAAAAACAAAATGTAATTTTTTTCTGTTTTCATATCATCATTATAGCAGTTTGACAATAAAACAGACCTATGGGAGTTCTTGGGGGAAGCCAGAGAACTTAACCATCTTTGAGATAGCCATAGGATTATAAATGCTTGGAAAAGGATGTCTGCTCAGAACCATAAGGACATATGAGTTTCCCAAGGCCCGATCCACAGCAGAGCACTTAAAGTATGAGTTTCACAGTTCTTCAGCCTCATGTAGAACTGAGAATCTGTTAAACATTTAAACTTCTTCATAATATGTTGTTTATTCACTGTACAACAGAAAGCTTTTCAAAGTTGTGTAGATAAGCCAGAGGGAACTTGTAAGGACACAAATGGAGATTAGAAAAATGTAGTTGGATTTAGCTAAAGTATTCTTGGTTTTGCAGAATATGATTTAGAACAAGTTTCATGACTGAAAAATACAAGGGATTTTAAAGCCGGACACAATTATTAAAGCTCAGTTCTTTCTAATAGGATTTAGATTCACCGCAACTGTTCAGATTCTTATTTCTGTAAATATTAGAACTTGTGCACCAGTGAAAACTGCACCACTTCAAGTTCTCATACAACTGTTCTTTCCACTTCAGAGTACACCTGCTGCTTGTGCATCACCTATCAGTTTTAAGAAACACTACTCAATTTGCTCTCAACTTTCCCAAAACATTCAAAAGAAAGTCTAAGAACATTTTTGTCCTCTACTAATATATCTAATCTGGCAATCAGAATCCAATTTATAACAGTGCAAAATGCCTTCCCTCAGGCTTTTTATGACCAGTTGCAAACAAGTTATTTTAAAATAAGAGTGTAATTTTCTAGCATTAGAAAAAAGCCTGCTGAACACTTACCTCACTGCCGAGGTAAGTAGTAATTACTCTTTAATTCTCCTATTCTGTACCTCAGATTGAAAGATACACTTCCTGCTTAAAACTCCTTAACTAAGAACTGAAGACTCAGTACAGAAAGGAAGTGGTCATCCTTCAAAATCAAGCTACAGGATTCTTTACTTTTTTTTTTTAATGACCTATTATCTTGGTATGCCACTAAACCTTTCTGCAGAGTCAGAATATTATGTGTATTAGAATATTATGTGCTCTGCCACTGAACTGTAACTTTGTGCTGCCTGTAGGATACTATGCTAGATGCAATAAGGAAAGTCCACACAAAGCAACTTACTGTACAGAGTTGCAGTCCTGCTATTGCTGTGCTAAAAATCCATGCGGTGATTACTAGACAAATAAATCCATTGACAGGGACAGCATAAAAGCCATGCTGAATGAATGCAAGTTTAAAATTTTCTCTGAAACTCTTCAGTGCTTTGGAATTAGGCATAATACCGCTAGATGTAATGTGTTTATTTCCCAAAATACATATTTGTATTCCACTGAATAGTGTAGTATTATAATTGAAAATGAACAGATTAAATAAACCACCAACTTAACGTATTTGTTAAAAGCTGAATTTCTAGAAGTTGCTCAACTCCATTATATAGCTTGGAGAGCTAGCACCATCTACAGGTTGCAAGCTGAAAGAGACTTGAAAGAAGCTGCCTTCAAGTACTGAATCCCATGTGCCCCCTACTGAGACAATACTGAATTTTCTATAGAGCATTGTAATAGGTGAAAAAACAACCAGAGCAAACAAAATGCATTCGTAAAAGTAACAAAGTGCCGGACACCACAGCTATTAACGAGTTTAAATGAAAAATTACTCTATCTTCTGTTACACTGAAGTATTTTTCATGCATTATGCCATGTTAACCAAGAATAAATGAAGATTTATAAGAGTAGAAAGGAGAAAGATATTCTCTCCATTTACCCTTAGTTAAGCAGGTGCGGAGTTCAGCATTCCTTTAAGGCCCCATGCCTATTCCTGCTGCCTTCCCACTCTGATTACTCATTGAGCACACAAATCCATGAAGGCTACACTGTCTGCTAAAGCAATAGCAGGTGAATCCATACCATACCACCAGTCACACCTGCCTACGCAAGAGCAGGAAAAGAGGTCATGGCAGCACAGAATTCTTCCCAGCTGTGCTACCAGAAGATGTACTTCCTGACTGTTTGTTTAGTGTTCAGTCTGGATGCCACCTGCTGTGTTGTATGCTGAAATCTTATATGAAGACTTGTAAGATTAAAAATTGCATTTTATAACAAATAAAGGTGCTCAATGGGTTAAAATTGCAAGTCTAACCTGTAAACAATTACTATATTTCTTTAATGCTTACCTGAGATGCCTGCGAACTACCAGTTCTGTTTTCAATCTCAGAACATTTCACAGTAATAGTGGATAAGTTACATTTTAATTGGTTCATTTCTTCTGACAGAGAACTAAGTAACAGTTCTCTCCTTTCTGCTTCCTTCATTTTTTCTTCTAGTTGACTGTGTAATAAGGAGACTTCACTGTTCTTGTTTTTGGACTGAAGTCTGTCTCTTAGGTTTTGGATTTCTTTGTCCTTCTCTCCAAGAAGATGGTTGTATTTTTCTTTTTCTTTTTCAAGACAAAGAATTTTCTGAATGAAACAAAGAATTGACATAGAGGAGTAAACATCTGCATATATAGCAATAACATTAGCAAATGCACAGCAGTTTAAGATATTCACTTTGAAACATTCTCCTCACCTTTAGTTACCTGAGAATATTACTATTTTAGTAAAACAGACAATGCTACAGCAACCACCTGAAATATTTCAAGTGATTGTAAGTCTCTAGCAGGTGAATCAAGAAAATGCAGAGAACTACATTTCACAGACTTGGTAAGCAGCTTTGCTTACGAATACAAATCACTATGGTGTATGAGCCTTAGAGAATAAATACTGTAAGCACTCTAGAGCATTTCCAATTCAAAAAGAGAAGTTAATACTTCTCTTAACATCAGTAAGATATTTAGCAGTTTTTGAGGAGCAATTGAACTTTTTATATAAGTTAAGGCAACAATTACTTGACCTACAAGAGCCTAATAGAGCTTTCAGGAGAAAAATTCTATTTTTTTTTTTCATAAGTTACCTAGCATTTTAGTTTAAAGATCTAGTAAAGAACATTTTGCTTCCCCCCTCTCCCCCCCCCCCCAACACTGACTTTTAGGTAGGCTTCTAGCACAGTAAATTCTTGAATAGCATTAGAATTTTGAGATACCTCAGAGCTAAACTTCACAGAATCACAGAACTTGTAACAATAGCAAGTAATTCCCCACAAGAAATACTGAAGATGAAATCCTACAAGTGGCTATCAAGTCATTACAAGGTGGCAGAGAAACTTGAAGCATTCATGTTTTATAAGACCTCAGTTAGGGAGTGGTTTATGGCCACAGTGACCACACCCAACACTCACTGAAGCTAGAACATGGATGCCTAATGGTATACTTAAGTATACCTATAATTGTCCACGTGTAAACTAGTAGCTAGCTATGAAGTAACCAACATTCAGCAAACAGCATACTCCACCACACACAAGAAATACACAATAGGAATTTGCCATGGCAATGAGCCATAGCTTGTATTTAAACTAGCATCAGAACTGACACTACAGCACAGACACAGCAAAACCATTATGAAGAAGTAGCCCAGAAATACTGTGCCTGGCCTGTTAATTATATTCCTTGAGAGTCCACTTAAAGTTTCTCAGTGTTTTTGGAAAGCCTGACAGCACCACACATCAAGCATAACTTCTTTCTCTGCAGTCACAGGTTTACCTTTAATGGACTACAAGGCATGGAAGTAGCAGTGTTTTAGTTTTTGCTCTGAAATGAGCATAGAATAACAACATGAGGAATTAGTTACAGTTTTATTTACTCATGGATGAGAAGGTGCTTGGCAGCCTCGTTCATGCAAAGGACCCGATGCA